CTTGGTTAAACTTCATGAGGCTGGCATTGGCGCCCTCTCAAGTGTGTCAAAGTCCCTCTGGATGGCATCACTTCCCTCCAATGTGTTGACTGCACCACACAGCTTGGTGTCATCGGCAAACTTGCTGAGGGCGCACTCAATCCCACTGTCCATGTCGCCGACAAAGATGTTGAACAAGATTGGTCCCAACACCGACCCCTGAGGGACACCGCTCATTATCAGTCTCCAATTGGACATTGAGCCATTGACCACAACTCTTTGCGTGCAGCCACCAGCCAATTCTTTTTTTACTGAATGGTGCATCCATCAAATTTATGTCCCTCCAGTTTAGAGACAAGGAAAAAGCCCAAAAAGTTTCAACTGGAAATGAAAAATTTAAAAATAATATTTTGACCTTCGAAACTGTTATTTTACTTTTAAATTCCATGTTAATGTTATCAGTGAGGATACCTCTTTTTAAAAATGGGCAAGTCAGAAGGAAATTTTCAACTCGCGACAATTTTTGCTAGATCTGAAAAGATTTTTTTCCTTTGAGGATTTTGGTTAGTAGGAAGGTTAATTTCTTTTCAAGTATGTTCCAATAATGAATTACATCAATTTTGGAAATAGCAAAATTTTCTGGAAAGGGCAGTCCTGGTTCCCATCAACTCCGATGTCAATAAATTTTGTAATCTATTGCTTAGGGGAAGGGGAGCTGTCATTTTAACTGGATGTTCAATGCTCTGATCACAGGCTAGTTTAGCAGTAGCTGAACATAAGCTATAAATAGTAACCCTGAATTTCTTGAAGGGGATGGATAAATAAAGCCAGGGAAATAGTGTAAAGGAGGAGGGGGAGAGGAGAGGAAATTTTAATTTGCTTTAGAAAAGAAAAGGCTGCTTCTAAAATTTGAGAACATGGTGCTTGGAAGTAGGTGTTGAGAAGGGAAGGATGGAGTGGGATGGGATCCAAGTACCATGTCACTGTAACTGGTCCATCTCTCTGAGGGAAACAGAGCCTTCCAGTGAAGGCAGAACTTTCCGAGCTGTGCTCTATCTCTCTGAAGAAAAGGTCTGCCTGGCCAGTGGGATGGTTTGCAGGATGTCTCAAGCATCTCTGATCTAGTTGTAAGGAGGGTTGGTACTCTGCAGGCAGAAGTCCACTGCCATGGGTACATCTGCAGTGCTGGACTAGAGGGGGGCAATAGAGCAGGCTCATCTATGACAGGTCCATGAGCTGTCACCTTCGCATGGCCCAGAGATGCTCGGTAAAGGGGCAGCATTGTCCCTCTCCTATACCGTGTGTGAGAGGCCTCTGCTTAAGCTCACCAACTGAGCCATTTTAAGATTCTTTCCCCTTGTTTTTGGTCACATCTGGGCTCTTTGCTGCAACTTTTCCTTTTTAACTCCTTCTCTTGCCCTGCAGTGTTTGCCCAAGCACTACTCTGCCTTCCTGTGCTAAGCCATGGTGCTTATGTGCCCTGTGCTGCTTCGAATCTGCCCTGCTTTAGCTTCATGGTTGTCTCACTTCTGCTCTCTGATCTGGCTTCTCCATGGAGCACATAGCAAACCTCTTCCCTATTTTTGTGCAGGGCAGAAGGAGCAGTCAATGAAAAATGAAGCAAGGAAGGCAGCACACCTAACAGGTATGTGCTGAGGGGCGAGCAAAATGTGGGAGTAGGGCATGTGGCAGGGGTGAGAGGGAGACATGGTTGAAGTTGTGAGAAGCCCACCTCACTCAGACTTTCGTGTTTTCCTTTGGTAATATGTGCTCTGACAGTGGGAAGTTACTCCACAGATAAAATCTTCCCCTCATTTAGGCTTTTCAGTGAGGGATCCATTTGTTGGTTTGCATCTGTGGTGTGCAGGATGGTCACAAGCAGCTGAGGGAGGTGAAGGTGAGCTTCCACCAGCCTGAAATGAAGGTAGACTTTCCATGCTGCAGACAAGGACTTGGAGGACAGTTGACTTGTTGTGACATGGGGCATCACTTGAGGAAAAAACACACAGCTGCTTGTACTTATTGCACTTTTTCTCTTGTTCTGGCTCCCAGGAAACCCGGACCAGCGGGACCTCCCTTTGGATTGGGAACCCATCTCTGGCCATGCCTTCACCAATGGCATTCAGTACCGTGATCAGGGCCTTGTCATCAATGAGACCGGTCTGTACTTTGTCTACTCCAATGTGCTCTTCCGGGGCAGTGTCTGTAGCAGCCAGGTGTTGACCCACATTGTCTACAAGAAAAACCCAGCCTTGCTTGGTAGCCATGTGCTGATGGAGGACAAGGGCATCAACTACTGTACGGGTCAGAAAACATGGGCCAGGAAAAGCTACCTGGGGGCTTTATTCAAGCTCAGGAAGATGGACAGTTTGCATGTCAATGTCTCCAAAATCTCTCTGATTAATTTTGAGGAATCCAAGACATTCTTTGGCCTATTTAAGCTTTGAATAGGGCTGTTGGAGCATGGCCAGCAGCCCACGACACACACACTAAGATGCGTGAGGGGTGAGCGCTGCCTGAGTGGCAGTGGCCAAGCCAGGGTCTCGCACCACAAAGCTCACTAAGAAACCATGTTTTGGTCTTCAGCATGAGAAGCCTCAAGCAACTGGTAAAGGCTTGGAAATAGACCTCTTGGAAGCACCAGAGCTGTACTGCATTAACCTAAAGAGAATCCCACATTTTCCCCTCTGAAAACAAACAACTACCCAATAACAAACTCAAAATGTAGTGTGCTGAAGACGTCCTTGAAACTCATTTCTTGCTACCTGGGAAGATCCTGGTGCCAGCAGCCCCACACGGCATCATGGCCTTGGTGAGCTTGGGCAGCTGGCAGGCAGTGAGGAGGCCCCTAAAGGCATGTCTGCAGGTGCCTGTGCTGTGCCGTGCCATGCTGCAGGCAGTGGTGTGGGAACAAGTAGTGCAGAGGTCTCATCTACCCGTCTCGAGCCAGGACTGGCCAGCCTGACTGGGCACTCAACACTGTGACTGCTGTACGACAGGCACCTGCCTGCTAGTTGGCTTTTTAGGTGCCATATGTACATTTTGTGTTAAGTTATCAACTGCCAATCTCAGAAGATGTCCCCCAACCCCTTTATTTAACTCATGCTGACTGCTTTGCAAGGAGCATGCCAGAAGCAGCAAGGCCATGAGGGGGATCCCAACCCCAGAGAGAAAATATGACTGTGATGAGCTGGTGGGGAGGCCACATGCTCCACTGACAGAACCTGAACAACATAGAGGTGGAGAGTGGTGGGGCCCGAGATGAAAGCAGCATCTCCAACCCCCTTCCTGCCCTTTCAACACCTGGTCCTGTCACCCCCTGCATGGTGCAGGTGTGGGGGATGTGTGCTGGGCACCATAAACAGTATGGCTATGGCTGGCCCCCTTGTCAAGGGTTATTGTCTCCTGAGCAAAACACAGCTGGCAAATAAAGGTATATTTTTCTACTAAGTGACACTGTTCTCTCCTCATCTGGGGCAGCAGACTTCTGCAGTGACCAAAGCCCTGAAGGCCTATATGATCAACAGGAATGTGGGAGCTTGACCTTACTTTGCTGTCTGCTTTGCAGGGCACAGTGTTCCTGCTATGGAGCTTCAGGGTTCCAGCATCAAAACATCAGGATCTGGGAAACAGGGAGGTGTGATGTGGGTAGCACAGACCAGGCAGCCCAAGCCCAGTTTGGCCATCAGGAAGGGGACTATCTCACAACGTAGGCTCCAGCTTGAGTGGAGCCAGACACTTGTTGCTTAGTAGAAGCTCTGCTGTCCCCCGAGGCACCATGCTCCTCTGTGTGCCCTCTGGCTCTAGCACATGGCCCTTCCCATGTGGAAGTCTGAAGGGCAAGGAACTGAAGGGGTGCTTTGGTGTTAAAAGCCGCCTATTTGCTCACTCCGATTTCTGGTCCATGGAGCTCTTCCTCTGCATGTGTTAACCCCAAGGCTGTCTGCCACCCGTCCACCAGGCAGTACACAAAGGCTTCGGTGCCTCATCATCTTTGTCTGTGGTCCAGAGTTCTTGAAGGTCTGATGTTGGTCACAGCAAACAGTGGCTCTTCAGCAGCCTTTATCTCCTTTTCTACGGTACTGTTCTCAGCTCAGTGATGTGTGGCCTGTGGTTTGCTGCTTCTTGCTTCAGGGAAACTAATTTCTTTGAAACTTGGAAGTAGACTGGCTACTAGTGTGGCCAATGTGAAGTGAACACTGCATCTTTCTGCTCACGTAACTGTTGTTGCACTCAGATATTTCCATTGCATTTCTCAGGATGGAAAAACCCTCGGAAAGTCAAAGTTCAGGGACATTTTTGCTTGAATGATGCTTTCTTGCTGTCTCCACCCCTTCTAGTTTCAGGGGGACAAACAGCATATTGAAGGGACAGAGGTGTGGATCCAGACCCGGCCAGGAAAGGCTGGAAGTTGCTGTCAAATTCTGATTGCTCTTTGTGCTCTGTTGCTTGTCTAGTGACCAGACATCCAAGTGAGGAGTGGGCATCTGTGCGTACATGTGCCCTCCAGCTTGCAGCTATTTCCATAGCAAAACCAGCCGAGCACACTGCATGCTTCCTTTCTTTACTGGTGAGCAGCTTAGAGTCAGGGCACTCAGTGCCCAGGGGAATCTCACAGTGACGGTATGGCATCTGCTGGTACTGTATTGGTATGGGGCTGGAAAGCTCCCATAGGTTTGTATAAATTGGAACACAGTAGCTCATCTAGACTGTGAATGTAGTTAGCTCTGGGTCAGAACGTAGCAGATGTTATTGCTGCACATCTGGAGGGGGCAAGGATCTGTTAGTCTTTTTATCTGAAATGCTAAGGGAATGCAGACCTGCATGTCTCAAGGGCAGTGACACAGTGTAGTGAATAGTCATATTATATATAGTGCTGGGACCTTCTAAGGTGGACAGAGCTGGCTTATCCTAGGTAAGGATAGAGCAGAATAAAGCTAAATGCTGCTAGGCTTGCTCCTGAGTGAGAGAGCAGCTGTGACTGTGTTGGGTCAACAGCATGGTTGCCAGTAAGAAGCGGTGTTACTGCTTTGTGATCCCTTCCTCAAAGATAACTCTAAACTGCCCAGAGCAAATCCACTACTTAGCCTGTGGTCTCCAACTAAAGATTCAAAGTAAGGTCTTGACAGTATTCTGCAATTTCAAACTGTATAGAGTCAATTCATAGACTGCTTCTGCCACAATGGCTTTATTAAAGTCGTCTGTTCAGCTAATCCTGGTCAGAGAAGGAGAAATGTGCCGTGACAGCTGTGGCTAGCATCCCTCATACCAATACTGCATGTTGCACCCATGTATCCTGACTCTTTACCATTTTGTGGTCACTCCTGATGGGGCGTGACACACAGCAAAGGCCTGAAGGGCACCTGGAATGTAAAAGCAGAAGGAGCAGTTGCTGTTCTCCGGCACATCCCCAGCATGTGCTGAGGCATCAGGGTGTCAGAGACAAGAAATGGAGCCACAGCATGGACTGGCTCCCAGCAGGCTTGCTCAGTTGCGTATCTTGGCTCAGAAACCTCACAGCTTAGTTGTAGTTAACTGGAACTCACACTGTTGAGAGGTGTTATGTGTGACTGTTTCTGTAGTCCTCTCAGGGAAAAGGGATGGCATGAGTAAGAATGGAAGAATTGATCTGTTTGAAGCCACTCAAATCCTGTGAGTTCAGACAACAACCTTCTATTTGATCTGACAAGTTTCATCATTGCTTTGGTTTTGGTTTTTTTTTTGTGGTTGATTTTATTATTTTATCATTTTTTTTTATTCATTTACCTGAAGCCAGCCTTGGCCTTTCTAAGTTTCTGTTATAATGTCTTGCGGGGTTACTTCTTCCAGTAAAGTTGTAAAGAAATGTAAAGACTGCCACGTTTTTACCAGGTTGGGACGGAGCATTTTCTAGTGGTTAGAGAGGGGAGAAAAGGGGGACTGAGTGTTAACTTAAATATTGCTATTATTTTTCTGGTACTCTGACATATCATATCATAGAATAGTTAGGGTTGGAAAGGACCTTAAGATCATCTAGTTCCAACCCCCCTGCCATGAGCAGGGACACCACACACTAAACTATGTTACATCATGGTTACAAAAGTATCATTTTAGGCGTGACTAAGTGACTGAGGTTTAGCACAAACGAGAGGATGAGGTAAGCAGAGAGAGAGGAGGGGTTCTGACGCAAAGTGAGGCAAGTTATGAGTGAATTTCTCGTTGATTTTAATTTAAAAAAATAAAAATAAGAGAGGAGAAGAAAAACTTGGCAACTTGTTGCTGATTCATCTCTCAGGGTAACATGGAGAGTCAAATGTTCCATTCCCTGTGCATGAGCGAAGCCCTGACACAGGAGATGTGGGACCGCAGGTTGTGGTGCAGGAGACTGCTGGCAGTGCCTGCAGTGGCATCTTTGGCCAAACAGAGGTGGGAAGAGATGCTCAGTTCCCTGGCCCCTGCCTGTGGTGTGACCAGCAATGCTGCTTTAGGATCCTACCAGGAGGCACTGCTCTGTCTGATTACCCCTGCCAGGACATCAGCAGTCATGCAAACAGGCACATAAACTTTCTGTTGTGAAGACTTTTTTTTTTTTTATTTTATTTTATTTTTTTTATTTTTTTAAATAAGCTGTTTTATTTCTCCAGGTAGCAAACAGACAAAAAGCTCTAGGTGGAATAACAAACCCAGTGTGCTTTCCTCTGCTTCAGTTGTTTCACCATTCCTCAGCACACTCCATATGATTCAGGCTACTCTACAAAGAATCAATTTCTCTCCTGCACTTACAAACCATCATAGAGATGTTGCATCTCTTTTTTCCATACCACACAACCCGTTTCCTTCAAGAACAACTGAAAAAGTCTTCTTGTCCAGTTTCCTTTTATTGATGGGGATTCCTTCAGTTCCCCTTTGCCAGGTCATTCCTGCCCTTTGCTGGGCAGCTAGTTCCTGGGATGTTCAGCTTAGAAACCTGCACAGGCCAGGTGAGTAGCTGACCTTTTGGGCCACATGAATGAGTATCAAAACTGGACTGTGTGCTAGCCTGAGCTCTGTGCTGGGGACATGCATTTCTCCTGGTGTTGCTATTGAGGTTTATGTCAATGTAGACAAAAGATTTCAGAAAAAAAGCATCTGAGTCATTTGTCTTTCTTAATTGCAATGATTGCAAGCTGCTTGTTCATGCTGGAGGTGTGATGAACATGAATTCCCTACGCAGAGCGCAACCTGTTTATGGCTGGTGCAATTCTCAGCTATCATGGGGTCAACCAAAAAACTGGTACAAGCTGCATAGTCTCAGCACAGGCTCAGGTCATGCCTACAGAGTGGTTGGCTACCATTCTATTTATCTGTGCTCCCTGCTAAGGTTTCTGCATGGGGAACAGCTACCGAAGATTTGGCTTTCAATAAAGTCCTGAAAGAGAAATCCAGACCATGGAAAATCAGAAATGCTTTAGCAACAAAAGTGGATGTA